TTTGATGTCCCTCTGAAATTTCTTTACCTTTGCGACAGTTGTCATCAATGTACATCATCAAACTTGTTGTGCATTAGTCTTGAAAACTGAATGTTTGGAAAAAATCTGAATAGTGCTCAAAACTGGAAAATGTGTACCGCAATATTTCTCCAGACCAGTAAAGCTTCAGATAAATAAATAAATACTATCTATCCATCCATCCAAAATCTGAAATTCACTTCACATTATCTTTGAATTCCCATTTCTTATGTTACATAGTTACATAGGCCAAAAAGAGTTTTTGTGTGTAAAGTTTATTTTCTACATTCTCTCTAGTTTAGTCAATGTACTTGTCTGTCTTTCTTTCCATGTATTTATATATAAATATGCCTAAACCTGTATTGCAGTCTGGCGAGTGGTAAAGGAAATATATTTTAACCATGATCATGTTTGTAGCTATGCTTATGTCTAGCAGCCATTCCCTTGTAGCCCCAACATTAACCTTTCTAGCTTCTTTTAAATCCACACGCTGCAGATGCTGCCTGGTTTAAATGCTCTGAGAGGTGAGGCCAGAGTAATTGTATTGCCATTCCTGATTATAATTAAACACACCCAATAGGATGTGAAGAGAGTGATATATTTGCGCCCTGTGTGTAGGGGGGCTGGGAGTTACTCTATGAACAAGCAAGTAATTCTCTGAAGTGTAAGTCATTTTTCAATTAAGTTTATGAGGTTTCCACTGATTCTAGTTCCTTTACATGTACCCAGGAGTGACGGCTCCACACTCAGACATACAGGCCAAACAATTGTTTTAAAATCACAAAACCATTTCATTTTGACAAACCCTGTTATTGTGTTATTCTAACAGGAAAGTTGGGTAACTGGAATTTCTTCCTGATGTGTGACTTGTAGCATCTCATATTTGCATCTCAGACTTTTGAGCAACTTTGAAAGGCGAGGCATTTGTATAGCCATTTTTTTTTATAAAGAAAACTAAATGGAAAAAAAAAAAGAGGCAAAACACTGCAGATGGATCAGGTTTAACAGACCCCTCCTGTAGTGCAGTGGATAAGAACCTGGCCACTGTGTACCTAAGAAAATGAAAGATGTCAGTCTAAATAACTACAGTGTTTACAATAGACCCATGGACACATGATATAGAAAAGATCTAATGTACTTATTGAATGAATGGTTCAGAATGAGTGTTAAGAAGTTAGGTAGAGTATTAACCACTTCGGTGCCTAAGAGTTAGTCAGCTTGGAAATTAAATGGCTTGGTACTGTGACTCTTTGTTAACTATCTGATTGCCTGCTGAATGGCAGAAAAATAAATTAGCCCAAAAATTATCTGGATTGAGGGAACAGCAAAGAAAGAGAGTTTGGATGAGAGAGGATTACGTAATTTATAGGTTATGCTTTCTTATGATTGGTTTATTTACCAAGCATGTTTTGTAAACTTTTTCAAATGTTTTCTCTCATTGTTTTTTCTTTGCTGTTAAGAGAATAAAATAAGGAGAACAGCATAATACTCGCTACCCTGTCCTTAATAACATCATGACTTTGTGTGTATAGTATGTGACTGGTGTATATAGTAAAATCTGGGAATTAAGCGCCACGTCCCCTGACATGATTTGAGTGGCAACTCTTTATTTAATTCACTTTTGCTTGTCTATCAGAAACAAGACTTTATTATAGTTAAACATCTAATATTGCTCCCTTTCCCAATATAAGGCATGAATTACCAGAAGGTTCTGTTATGCAACTGAGGCTAGGTTAGTGTAAATATTTGATTTTGTTTACAAAATATCAAATATCCTTGGGCCTCAACTAAATCACATTAATTCAACAGTATTACTTGAAGTTAATACTATAATTGATAAAGCAATATAAAGTGTTATTAATGCCATTTTAGGGTGAATAATTTTAGGGTAAGTTTTGCTTTTTTTCCTAATTCACATTTATTTATTTGATTTATTTATTTTCATATTTGTTTTTGAATAGGCACTTTGTACCCTGCTTGATTAATGTATAAACTGGTGTGGTGTTTTTTTGTTAATTTTATTATGGATAGCCCATAATACTTTTAGTGTGTGTATTATTTATTTAGGGTTGTATTCATCCCTTTTTCCTTAAGAAGAGGGCAGAGGTAGTAGGAAAGGTTCATATCAAAAGGTCTATTCATTCCAGGCATATACCTGAATTTAACTGAAATATATAAAAATCATCAATGTGCCTTACAACATATATTAATTTTAGTGTTTGGATAATCGTCTGTGCGTTGATTCAAGGATTTAAAAGGAAAGGAAACACTTTTTTATTTAAAAAAAATTACATCTAGAGTTATAAACTGCCAATTTTGCCTATGTGCAAAAATCACCATAAAGAAATTAACAAAAGTCAAGTGTCTTTAGTTATCGTGGATCAACAGAAATAATATGTATTAATTTGATAATTTGGTTGAGTTTATATTATACCATATTACTATGTACTATGTTTTCAAATATATATATATATATATATATATATATATATATATAAACCTTTTCTCGATATGTTGCCGAACACAGATGAGCTTACCGATTTGCAAAAATTAGCCTAGCCAAATGCAACCTAATTTTTAGGCTAATTGGAAAGTTATTTCTTCTTTCAAGTTTCAATAATTTAAACTAACATTTAAATATCAGATTTCAAGCCATTACAAGCTGCTGTTTAGTAGACAAACCCACAATGTGTCAACTGTAATCCTGTGAAGTGGATCAAACACCAGATTCCATTGTATTTGTTGAATACATTCTAAATGGATTAACCCAATACCTGCTCTAAAACTGATTGCTGGAAATACAAGAATAATTAAATGTTAAATACATTTATAAATAAAAGGAAAGACAATCTTTGCCCAGATTATGTTTATTGTTCACTTAACACCGAATCGTTGTCTTCAAAATTTATTGCAAAATTTTAGCATTAAAAAAAGCTAGATTTTACAAAAAATGCTGAACTAGAATTATTTCATGTCAGCAGGTTTTACCGAAAGTTTGCAATTCGGTTTTTAATTTCTACAGTTCACTGTTTAGTGGATAAATCACCATAGTTGTTCATTAAAGTGAGCATTTCAAGTGAATTTCAAGTCCAAAATAGCCTACATTGAAGCATAATTAACTTAGAGAATGTTTCCAGTTGACTATGTTGGCTATACATTTGAAATTTGCTTGTAATTCTCATTTTTTTGGTAATCCTGCATCTGTACCTTTGCTTAAGATGCGATTTACTAAACAATAGAAGCACTGAGAAATCTATTTATGGTGAATTACATATTAAGGAAGGTCCCAGTCTTGAATATCAAGTTGCATAGCAAAACAGGAGAGTTTATTCAGAATTACAAACTCTCCATTACTTTTCCCCAATCAGTAAATAACTTTCAACTGAATGCCAAACGAATATACATGTATAAAACAATGAAAATATCACTTTTCTATATTGGTTCAATTGAAAATCAAAACACTTTAGCTGTTAAGGGATTTATTCTTAGTTAATTTTAATATTACATTTTAATAAATAACAGTACTTTGCTGGCAAAAAACACGAAAAGATGTTTCTTAAATCGGTTTTATTCCCATGCTCTTAAAATTTAGAGGAAAAAAAAAGTATTCACAAAATAACATAACTTATAAAAACAATACACTGCATTCTTATCCACAACAGCATTATTTAAACATCCACACATCCATATTACAGATACCACAGGTACAATACAGAGAGAAAAAGGTATGGGAGATTAGGGAGGGATGAGATAAAGAATGGACGAATTCTTTGTGCATTTTATATTAGAATTATCTAGAAGTGTATAGTACTGACAATTCAAGCGACAAATATGCCCGCAATTAAACTTCATATGCGTTTTTAATATTTAAACATCATATTTATAGTTTAAAAAAACCAACAAACCACTGTAAAAAAAAATCTAAAATTACATATCAACACCATGATATTTACTCCTCCCTTCCTCCTTGTCTTTGTGTTTTTGTTTTTTTGTTTGTTTGTTTCCATTCTTTTCTTAAAAAATACTATTTGTTTTCAAAGTTGGCAAGCGACTTGACCATGAATGATTTAAGACCTATGAATGATAAAAACGTTTTTGCACAATCTGGAGTCTCTGGAGATTGTATTTGTTGTTATTTTTTTATTATTATTATTATTATTATTATTTTTACATAGCATATTATAATACATGGGGAGCTAAAACTGCAGATAAATAAGGGCGATCTACTGACCAAAGCATAGCATACATACGTGAGCAATATTTGGGGTATGGAATTGCAACAGAAGGAGGGGAGAATTTTAACAATATTTTCTAGATTAGTTCTGTAGGGGAGTCTGTGTCTAGCATTCTAGAGATTCAGATGAGAACCTTCAGCTTATATTTTACTCAGCAACAATCTGATCAATCTTTCCACTGAACAAACATAAAGAATCATGCAATTTTAAACCAGTTTATTAAACTGCGGTGCACAATCATCTGACATAATTAAACGGCATATAGATATATATACACATAACCTTTTTAAGTGGTTAACCCTTATTTAATATTTTATACCTAATATTTAATGTTTGTTTTTTTTTTGTATTATTCTCTCCCTTCTCTTCCCCTAGATTCTTACTCTGCAAATTCCTGTTTGTATTGGTTTTAGTTTCTTTTCTTGTCTTTATATTTTTTTTCCTGGTGGTTGAGTGATTAGCAATATAACCAATCTCAGAGTCCCACCACAAAACAGCCCCAATTACTTTTTTTTATCCTTTTGATTACCACCAAAATGTATGTGAAAAAAAAACTTTACTTCCACCTTAGTGGATATTGGTTACTCCTGTGCAAGTTCAAGTACATACAACCCGCATAAATCCAGAGAGAAATTGCAACTCATCCATGTTATTTGATTTGTTTGGTGTCTCTTGCAAAACATTTTATTTTTCTGGTCCATTCGGAAAGCAAAGTCCACAGGGCACATTTCTCTGCAATCCAGTTTATCAACTGTTATATTGGCATGCATTCAAACTAGACCCTGGGCTCTGTAAACTGCTATATCCAAAAGTTGAATGCTGCTTGGATTTAAGTCTGAGACTAGCCAAGCTGGAATTACATGTGTCCCTATAAACGGTGTAAGGAGATCCAGGAGGTCCATATGGACAAGCAGTTGAAGACATCGCTGAATTGAGGGAAGACCCACTGATGTTATTAAGATTGTTGATGTTATTTAGACTTGAGTTTGGCATGCCAGGGACTGCAGAATGACCCATGCCTGATGGCATACTCATTGAAGAGATGGAACTTGGCCCAGAAAACATAGACTGAGAAGACAATGGACTCATGGAGTTGAAGAAGGTGAAGCTCTTAGTAGACAACGGTGCAGGAGTCAGACTTTTTGTAGCCCAGTTGTTATATGGATAGCCAGCGTACATGTCATCATATGGTTGCATGAGGCCACTGAACTGAGGAACATAGCCATTCTTGCACAAGTCCATTTGTTGGTTGCGTTCCCTCTTCCTCCACTTGGCTCTGCGGTTTTTGAACCAGACCTGCAAAGTTAAGAAACATTAAAACCATAAATGAGGCCCCAGGAAAGAAAAGGTCACCAGCAAACCCTCTGACCCCTGAGACACACAATTTTGATCTCAATAATATTAATGAAAAAAAAAAAAAAGTAGGGTCAAAGAAACAAATAGAACACACAACACATAAACCAAAAGCGAACCATTGACTAATATCCTAATAGCAGCTGTGGGTAGGAGATTAAAGCACACAAAAGGGGAAATTGAGATTTGTACCTGAGGGTGGGATAAAAATAGTAATTATCATAGGACACTAGGTAAGTAACACACCCAAGGATGGATGTTTATAAATGATTTACAGGGACTAGGAAACCTGAAACCTCAACATCCCAAGACAATACTGTAAATTTTAAACATTTTTAATAAATACTTAGGCAGTATTCTTATGGGTAGAACAACTAATTAATGGGTATAGATATTCAGGGACATCGGATATTTGTACTTGGGGAATACTGCAATTAGTGACTCATAATAGCATATTTCTTCTAAATGCTGCATCGTAGCACATTTTTTTTTTGCATAGAAGTAATAGTTAGAGATACTAATATCACCTCTGAGAGGGGATTATTTACTAAACATCAAAAACAGGCTGTTGTTATAGGGGAGATTTATGTTTATTTTATTTTTTGTTTTGTTTGTCTACCAATACCGCACATTTTGATTAAAAATTCGTTTTTTAATTAAGTAAAATGAGAATAAAAAACCAGTATGCTATAAATCTAAAATTGGCCTTTCTTTCAACAGGTTAAATATGTTTTAAATTGTGCTTTATGTTAAATCAGGCAGAATACCTGATATTACTGCACCTGGTGAGGTTATTGCGGAAGATCTAAGTCATCTAAAGTGTTCATTATGCCAGTTACCCAGTACAACAGTATATTTAAGCTGCATTAACTCCTAGGGCAGTCTGTTTTATAGAGGCTTGTTCACTTAACATCGAATGTCAGGAAACTTGAATATGAATGGAAAAATGAAGGCTAAATCGTTGATCCGGAACAATTCTTCAACTCACCAACACAGGTATAATCACAGCGTGGCTAGTTTAGCCTTGTTCACTCCATTCTGATTTCAATTTGCTACAATTTTGAGTTTAGTGAATAACTATTTGCCATGCAGCGTGTTCTTCTTAGAATGCCATAGCACTTTGATTTAAATGGTGTGCATAACGTAGCATTTGTGATTACTAGGTTTATCTCCAGGTTATGTCATAAACTGCAGCAGAAAATACTGAGATAATATAAACCTTTCAAATGTGAGAGAATATGACACATTGTATAATATTTTACTATAACTTTACACAATGCTCACCAGCAACTGATCAACTGCAAGTTGTCATATCCACTCGTTCTATATTTTTTTTTCTGCAGTTCCATAAGGATATCTGCTTTTAATTTGACCCTGAATATTAATTGGCCAGGATAAATGTTTTATCAATTCCTTTCTCTAATAATACATTTGTGCACCAGCACTCCAGCATTTCCGACTATTTATACTGCATCATAAAAGTGCCTTGTTACAGATCATAAAAAGGGGGATTGGATTAGCAATGTTTGAGCAAAATCTTTACATTGCCCTTTGGATATGTAGACTATGATTGTATAACTAATTAGGATTTACTGCTTTGACCAGTTGCAGAACTTCATATGCTGACTGCATACCCTTAACTGGGGTGTAAGAGGGGGTGGGGGGCTTCTAACAATTTCTTTAATAAAACCCATTGCTATCTGCCCCTTTTACTGGTAAACAAAACACACGGGGTATAAATAAAGACTAGGACAAAGCTTTCCTAATTAGAATAGTATTTGTTTCATAAACACAGCAGACCAATCTGTTTACATTTTTATGTTTGTCTGAAATTGAAAATTGGTGCAAGAATAAAGGAAATATTTTAAGTGTGCGTATGTATCTCCATCCTATACAGTCACACAAACACACACAAGCACAGACAAAAAAAAAGTATTTAATACAGTCAGTCTATACAATGAATATACAGGAGCAAATATACGCACACAAACACACACAACTATCAGTATAAAACTATTTCTGCAGTACTGGCAAATATGGTTTAAAAAAGAGCCATTATTATAAGTATGGGTTAAAAATGAATCAACAGAATTGTCCTTTAATACTCTGTTCTGCACTCTATAGCAGTCCTCCGTGTAATTGCTATGACGGCTAAATTGAATAAATGATAGATAATAGTGAGAGGCAAATTATCTTAAAACAAACGAGACCTCTGTCTTGATTATTATTTATTTATTTATTTATTTTTAAACATTGTGACATCTGATGTTTGATCAATATGCTTTAATGTCATATCCAACATAAGATAGTAAAATCGAGAGCTGGGGTGCGAATTACAAATGTAAGGATCTCTAAAACAAAAATAAAAAAAATGAAACTCGATAAAGAGAGAAGAGCGTGTTAATGTTTCTTTTAATATATAAAAAGCCTACTTAATTGGCTTTCAGACAGAGGGGATCGGGTGGTATAGCACATATTAAGTGTGTTAACATAATTTTATATATATATATATCTAATTTGCTTGTGTTTCATCCTATGGTGGGATTTGTAATGTGGCCTACCTGGAAAATTACAGTGCTTGTAGAACTTATTTATACTTGTATCCTTATTATTTTTTTCAACTATTAATTCTACATTTATTAATAGTTATATGTCACTGTTTTACAAATTCTTGCAAAAAGAAGAACACACACTTATGTATGTATGTATCTCTTTCTGTCCTAAATACATATATATTGCTTTCCTAAATCCGATTTATGTCCTAATAATAATAATAATAATAATAATAATAATAATAATAATATATATAAAACGGAGTTTTATCACACAAAACTATTAACAAATATAACACGGATTTTTATCACACAAAACTATTAACAAATATAACATTTCTATAAATCCATAATATAATTGGAACAAACAAGCATATTATTCCAAATTAATACTTTAATACTGCACTATGCATTTAAGGAGTCGTTGTATGTGTGTTCGTGTATTGCAAGAATACAATGTAACTAATGCAAGTTAAGATTAAACGATGAATTTGTAAATCGTTATTAATGAGTCAGGTTAAGTGATCAGGGACTTACATAATTACATAGCTGAAAACAGACATGAGTCCATCAAGTTCAGCCTTCCTCTTATTTGATTTTTGCTGTCGATCCAAAAGACTGCATCTAACAAAATTGTCTACGGGTCTTCTATAGTATATAACCTTCCTAAAAATGTCTGATTGTGACCAGATTGTGACCTTTTACTGGGAGATGCACTGCCTTACATAAACAGACTTATTACATTGCACCCTCTATGCTTTAGTGGCACTGCACCCTCTATATTGATGGGTCACACTACACCCACTATACATTAGTGACACTGCACCCTCCCTGCGTCTATATTTGCTGAGCTGATGGAAAAGTATATACTACAAACTTTTCATATCGCCATGTCCTTGTTTATTTGTATATCAGCAGGCAAACAAACACACTTTGCACTTTGTGGGTGTGTGTATCTCCAAAGCCCAAATACATACAGGTAAAAGTAATCTTAGGGTACAGGTCTTTAATGCTACTGAGGATTTTATGCCATAATGGTATGTGTCTTGTAGGGGTTTCAGTGTTGTATCTGTGTTTGTGAGAACATATGTATGTAAGCAACAAAAACAGACAATATTGCATAAGTTGCTATTGTATTTTACATTTCCACAAAGCTAATATATACACAGTAACACACAATCACTGCACAGTGTGTATATGTAGATAACCACATAATCTAGGTGTGTGGTAATTAATAACTCTCTATGATAAACAAGCAAACCTTCACAATCATGTCTCTCTCTCACCACGCAAGTATAGCCAATAACATTACATTTTATACTCCTTCATTTTGTAACCATATCTGCAAAAGTACAAATATTCACATATAAACATAAATGCACTCTACATCCAACAAATGTGCTTTACTATAATTAAAAGCATTTATACAAGTATGAATAAATGTACTGTATTCTGCTATATCTGTTACAGCTATAAACTGTACTGGAAACATTTCATATATTATATATTAAGGTTTATAGTTATTGGAATTTCTCCATTAAACTTTTATCTACGTGAAAAATTAGAAGAAGAAAAAAATAGCAAATACATGATTTATACATTTGTCATGGTTCTATCAAGATAAACTCTCCTTATCGGCCCTTATTACTGTCAATCGAAGAACAGTAGTATATATAAGTACTTTGCTATGTTATCTTTATGTAAATAATTGCTTCCTTTCATTGACATTGCATTTCATTTGTGTGTATTTTCAAATGTTTTGTGAGAATTAAATGGGCGTGTTTTGGTGTAAGTGTGCGTTTTCATGTGTGTATGAATGTGCTTGCTTGCATGTGTATGTATGTCTGTATATGAGATATTATGTGTGTGGTGTGTGGAATGTTGTGTGGTGTTAGAGAGTGCTTTGCGTTTATCTCAGTGTGTACATATGTCTGAGATATGTGTGCTGATAGATCATTTGTGTTTATGTATAGGTGTTCATTCTTGTATGTGTGTATTGTGTTAACGCATGTGTGTGTGTGTTTTTGTCTGTGTTTGTATCTGTGTGCATTTTGTGCATGTATGTGTATTTTATCCCTGTGTGTATAAGCCTTTGGGTATGTCATTGTATGTGTGCCCCTTTCCGTGTAGGATTGTTAAGGTGTATGAGTTGTGTGTATTAGTGTTTATGAATTTGTGGGAATATAATTTAGTGTTTGTCTCTATGCAAAACAGCTTCCATCTCCAAGTCTATTCCATTTTCATGTTAGCGGCAGATTTTACATATGTAAAAATAAATACCAATACTGTTATAAATCGATCGAAGCATTATGTCTCGTTTGTATGAGATGCACTATACACAATATATTTATTTTCAAAATTTGTATATATTTCTCTGTTATAGGGGTAGAATTCATGCTTGCTATATAAATCAATAATGTAATCCATGTCATCTCAATCATTCTGAATAGTGAAAGCTATCCATACAGACTGCTGTCAGGAAGCCATGAATTAAAAGCACACATGCCTGAAATTGTTATAATTAGAATTTTGGAGATTATCTATGAACTAGCCCTTAACATTATAAAGTGTAGAATTCTCCATATTTTGTGTCAAACCCTAATGCTTTTCAATCAATCAAAATGCGTGTAACTGAGGAAGATTATGCTAAATTCTAGAAAATATGAGATACAAATTCAAACCTCCATGCAGAAGTTCAGAAGAAACCTCCCACCCTTTACTAAATAGGCTTTTACAGCAGTGAAAGGAAGCCTCACACATTACAGAGCTTTCTTTCAGCTCAGCATAGTATCACTGTGTAACATGGTGTGGACAAGACATGCCCCAAATAAGCAACAAAAAGATTTGATGTTGAATTTAAGTTGTTAAAGTATTTTTCAGTTGTCTGCATTTTAAGCAGTGAGCTGGTGAAAATACAGCCAGAACTAAAACTAAACTCACTGACCCTTTTAAGCTAGTTTGAACTATTATTTTTTTACATGCAAATCATTTCCTCTTCTCCAGGCTTTATTAGGGTCCATATGAAATGCACCTTTCAGTCTCCGTTTGCCTTGAGGTTCAGTCCTGGGTTTTGCTTTTCCATCTGGTCTTTGTTTGGTGCCTGCAATATTTTTAATGTGTCTCTGCAAAACGAAACGACTTCAACTGGGTCTAAGAATATGTTCATTTTGTAGGGATGTTGTACAGCTATTTGGAAATTTACAGGGACTATTTACTAAACAGTGATCAGACAATCAGACTTTAAAAAATAGGCAAAGGCAAGGCATATTTTGAAAAAAAAAAAGAATGATTAAAATCTAAAACTAGTCTTCAGTAAATGTTTATATATATATATAATAAAAATATAATATTGATCTTAATAGAAATAAGTATGTCCGCAAGACTTCATAACTCACTCTTTAATGACTTACTCTAGCATATTCAACTACTAGTAGAAGTGCCACTGTTTATATAGCTAGAACTATCTATCTATCTATCTATCTATCTATCTATCTATTATCTGTATGCCTGCGTGTCTGTCTATCAAAGATATTAATGCATTACATGCTACTGTACTTCACAGTATCACAGATCCAGAATTTAGCCAGAAGGGTTAATTTGGGTCGGTGTATATTACAATATTACTTTATCTGGAGCTAATCTTACCAAACAGTTTGAATGGAGTTATAATTAAACATCGGTCAAATGTTTTCTTTTCATTTGTGAACTGCAAATGCTGGTTCTGTAAAGTAATTTAATACATGAAACAGGACCTTATTAGCAGGCCTCATGGTAAGAGAACTATAAATCTGCTAACTATCGGGGTGCAAAAAAATGGGACTGCCCTGACAGAGACAGCATTTAGTTATTAAATCTAGAATTTACTGGCTCGTTATCTCTCTCTCTCTCTGTTTGTCTGTCAATGGATGGTGCCGTTTTAAATGTGTAGCTATGTCGACACATGAGAATGCGATTTCATTATTGTTGTTTCTCCCCACAAAACTAATAAAATCTGAATTATAATTCTGATATTTTAGTTGCATATATACATTCAAATATGGGTGCCATGCAGGCAGTTACACGTTTTGCACGCACTCACATATTCTCCAGCCGTTCATTCTTTCCATGTAGAATAGTGAATTAGTTGCTGGTATTACTATAAACATGCAATCAATACGTCCATCCATCTGGGAATACATTTCAGTTATTTTTAGGGTTAGCTGATTAAATCTAATGAAATCTGAAAGAGGATGGGAGAGTCTCTGATCATAGTGTAGTGCAAGCAGGATCTGAGTCTAGCAGTAAATTCTAGCTCTGTACACAATGAATGGGTAGAGTTTCATGGTTTATCATTGCATTTTTGCAGATTTCTACAGCCCTCTGTGCCTCCGGCTGCACAGTGCGGTTTGGTTAAGTTGTTCTGTTGTACTCGGCTTACCCTGACTCTGGCCTCTGTTAAATTGGTCCATACAGCTATCTCCTCTCTCATGCTCATATCTGGATAGCGGTTTCTCTGAAAGGTGGCCTCCAGCTCCTGCAGTTGTTGGCTGGTGAAGTGAGTTCTTTGTCTCCTCTGCTTCTTTTTCTTGGAAGGATCTTCTATGGTCCCGTCCTCACTTTTTGGTTCCAAACTTCTATCCTTTTCTGCGAACAAACCATATAAGAAACTAGAACCATTAATAGAACCCAGACAGTTGTCAATTGAGAAGGGAGAGAAGAATGCAAAACAGGCCCAAGAGAGAGACAGAGGGGTCCTAACAGACAGATTTATTCAGTTGTGGTAAACTGACAGCTGAACTATACAATTTCAGCCAAAATATAGTTTGAAGCAACCTCTAAATCTGATAAAATTGAAAATGTATTTTGGCATTTTTTTTTCCCTTCAGCGATTTTGGCCAAAATATTGTTCTCAGTTGGTATCACTGTGTGTGTGGATGGGACATTTTACTTCTCTGTGTTATAAATTAAATTGAAACGGGGGATGTGACTTAAATGCTTCGTTAAAATTTGCTTTAAATAAAGTGCAGGCATTTGTAATTCTAATACAGCAAAAAAATGGTCTCCTTAATCAAAGGCATTTAATTAACCGATATGTATAAAATAAAAAAAGTAATTAACACACACACATTAAATTCTATATATATAGTATGTGTGTGTGTGTTTGTGTTATTATTATTATTTTTTTTAGTTTAGGACCAAAAGTACTAAAATATGGTGGCTAGACTTAAAAGTGTGAAAACTGAAAAACATACTGAAAAATAAAATATACAGCAGGACAAAAGGAAAGTGAAAGAGGCATAAAATGGTGAGTGTGTAGGCAGAAGCTACGCACGCAAAGATTAGGTTACTGTATTTGACAGACCAGCTACCCAGCTGTAATATTTTGAGCAAAGTCCCTCTTTGTACAATTAAGTAGTGTTGGATAAGTAGAAGGAAGTTATGGGGGATCGTCCACTAAACAATGTGTTGGGGTGAGCTGAACACTGAATGTTACATGTCAAGTGTGTAAAAAAAAAAAAAAAAAAAGTTAGACAGGGGTATGCAACATTCGGCTCTCCAGATGTTGTGGACTACATCCCCCTAATGCTCTTACACCTATAATGCTGGCAAAGCATCATGGGAGGTGTAGTCCAAAACATCTGGCGTGCCGACGGTTGCCTATGCCTGAGTTAGAATAATCTCTCATTTAGCTGACATAGAAAGTTTATCTCCATCTGGGGTATTGTGGCCTTAATTTTACAAAACCGGTTGTAAATTCACTATTTAGGCGATAGACCCTTGATGATTTACCTGCCTAGTACAATTCTAATCCGCATACGTGTGCTTTATTTTATATTTAAACATACCACACGTTACAGAGAATTCAGCAACTACACATGTAAAATATTAAACAAATGCAAACAAGTACATATCTATGTGCAGGTTGCGTTTTCTTTATTGCAAAAAACGATTTAACTCAACAATAATTTAATGTAAAAGTAATTAATCATTTTTAGACGGCTTCTTTCACAACCTTTCAATACTAGATAGATAGATAGATAGATAGATAGAAAGACAGATAGCGATAACATATCTTGCGATGAATGTACAGAAATCGCTTAGTCTTCTATTACAGGCAATCTCCAGGGCTTGCCTTAAATAGGCCACAGAGGGGGGAAAAACTCTGGTAGTTTGCTGCCATTTCTTTTTAAGTCACCTAATATGACCTGTCTAATCTATTAAATTTCTAGAAAAAAAAAAATTGGAATAAATAATTAATAAACTAAATAAAAAATTGCATAAAACATAAAAAACACATAGAAGACTGAATCAAATAGTTTTAATGCATGTCAACTTTTTACATTCCTCAACGCACATTTTTTTAAATTTGACTAATTTAATACTTCAATATCTCTTATAAAATGTGAAAGAAGATGTATAAAATAAACTAAATAAATATATGTGTACCACAATAAGTGTTTACTAATTACATGTGTATAAAATGCAATAATGCTATTTTTTCATGAATTGATAAAGTATTTTTTTTTTTTTTTTATGTCTACCGCAGATCCAGCCTATTGGGATTCTTCAAATTCATAGGGTCAATTTTTTGGTGGAAGTGGAATGAGGGGTGAGGTTGGAACCGTTTGTGGTCAGATCCAACTATTTTCCAAGGGGTCAGCAGAAAAGAAGTGCCTCCTAATTTTCTTAAATTCGTGCTAGGCCTGTCCTTAAATAATCTGAGACAGCAGATGTCCGCATATTTTTCCCAAATGTGCTGTTGCGATGTGAATTCATAATATTTGTTTTCTTTGTTAAAAGAAAGCAGTAAACATGCCACAGTTGATACTGACCATACCAAACAACATGCTATTTTAAAATTCTAGAAAACTCAGTCTTTAGTTTCTCCAGAAAAATAAGACCGGAAAATATAAATAATAATAAAAATAACATTCTGAGATGCATAAAAACACAGAGATTACCATTACGGAATAATGATAATTTATTAATAAGAGAAAACGTATCCTAGGGAATTAAATACTTAATTATTTTGTTTCATGTGTAGTATTGTTAATACATTTTCTTCTTTCAGTAAAAACTGGTAAAGCTTCGGTTATTAATCTACTTATATGAGTGGAAGACTGTATTTAAAATAGTAATCATAATAATAATAATAAATATGAACATAGCCTCTTGTATTTGGGCAGAGGGATTTTGGAGGTAATAATATATACTTCTAGGAAACATTTTATGTTACCTCGAATTCTATTTGATTTATGTTTAGTGGCTGCAAGAATCCAGTGTTTGAAGAAGTTGTATGTGAGTCTACGTAGCTTCATGTGTTCCTTTAAGGAAGCAAGACTTGACTGGAAATATATTATATATATGTAATACACAAACATAATATGCAGACACTTGCAACAATTGTAATATTCTAAAATACATAGTCTCTTCTTTCTATCTCATTTTATAAGTCCTGGCTTATTTACAAGAGTACGTGAAATATATATGAGGATGATGTATGCTATATCATATACACGAGTTAGTTACCTGGAACTTCAGTATCAGACGATTCACTAGCTGAATTCTCAATAGGATCTCTGGATTCAGATGTTCTTTGCAAATGGAAACTGGAAGCCATGTCGTGAGAAGGTTGGGGTCTTAAGCTCTCAGGCAATCTTTCCAAATTCATACCTCCTTTAAAGGAATCCATGACAAAATAACACTGCTCATGAAATGGGTATTCCTCAGGATCCTACACAAGGCAAATCAAATCCAGTTTTCTCCCTTCAAAGGGTGCTGGCCCATAAACATGTCTTTAAAAAAAAAAAAGGTCCCTTAATTAAGTCTCCTTTCCCTTAAGAAACACAAGGACTGCAGTTTTCCAACCAGAAGTGCATTAGAGTGCTACAAATGCAAGTTGCTAGTCTGATAGATTTTAGTTGAAGAGATTAAAGAGACCTGCCTGAAATGTCTGCAGTTTAGTTGAGCTCCACCCTTCTGAGGTTAATACCTCCCTGTCTTACTAATAAATTACAATGTGCAGCTCTCAACCCAGCCTACAGTCTAGCTAGGAAAAGAGTTGCCTGCAAACTCCCTGTAGATGCTTGTAACTGCTCTCTTAGGGCTTCACAATTTACTGGCAGCCCATTTCTTAAAGAGACAGCAACCTAAACTAGAAATGCCATAATTTCTTTGCTTTTGTACAGTCCTTTTTTTTTTTATATCCAGGAAATTCATATTCAAAGATTGCTACTTCTTTTCACGACAACTATGAAATATTCTGTAAAGAAGATAGAAGATAGATTTGTGTTCTCTTTTTGCTTCTAAAAAGTCCCTTGAACTTTATTACTTGGGTGATTTATTTCAGTCTGTATAATTCCAAGCCCATAAGAATACTTTGCCTTACTTCAAATATTGATAGACTCACACAGAACACTTAAGTAAATATATACCTTCATGCTATTCAACAATTCACTGCAGCTGTGAATAGGTTTAACCGCTTTTGTTAACCAGTCATTTCTACACTCAGGTAAGGGAAGCTTTTGAAAAAAATAAAATAAAAAAAAAGTAAAAAAAAAAAATATATATATATAGACACATTTATTATTGCATGGAAATCAGAATTTCGACTTGGAAATAAAAGAAAACATACAATAAATGCTGAATCACATTTTTTAAAGACAGGTTTGGAGGACATTCTTTATAAGGTATATAAAAAAAAAATCATCTCCCCCCACCCCCTATTTTAATGTTTAATAGTACGAATAATAATTAAAAAAAGGAAAAAATATTTTTTGTGTGTGTCGGATTCTACTGATTGTTTGTCTTGTTGACTTTGCAGACTCAGTAAAAAGAATGCTGTGATTTTAATGCCTGAATGTTCTGCTATGAAACTCTCCCTTTATATAGATTAGTATTTCATTAGTATATATATATATAATATAATATAATATATATATATATATATATGTATATATATATATATATATTACACAGGAACATATATATGTTAAAATACATAATTCAGTTTAGCCACAAACAAGATTATTGTCATTAAATATCTTTAAATATCATACACAGAAAGTGACTGTAAGCCAGTCGTGTCAATTGAGATGTTTGATTTGAGATACTTTAGTGATGTGTTACAACGCTCTGATTTGGCACTGCAGTACATTCAAGGTGTGTCGTTAGTTTAGTGAGAATAATTAGTTATACATTCAGTAAACAAAGTGATCACCCTGACCTTTATCCTCAGGGAACTTTTCATTAGTTGATTTGTTAAAAGGGACACCCAAGTCACTAATTCAGCACTTCTTTCAGAGTTTGGATGGGGTTATAGGTATGTATACAACTATAGGTATAAAAAAAAAACCACTCATGTCATATACAGTGCTCTCTGAATCCAACGTCAGTATTATATTTTCTATAAATGAATACCTCACTATTATCACATATCATGCTGTCATACCCATATGTCTCCAAAGAATCTGAGTTGCATGACAACTATAACAGAAATGTGGGGGAAATAAATAAATACATGCAATCACCATGGGAACCATGAAATGTTAATTGTAATTCAAATTTTAGTGTTTGCACCACTTTTAGAATTTCGCCCAAGTTCTCTTTTAGTTGAACTTATATGAATTCTTACCTACTGGGAGAAAGAAAATACGGTTACAGAGACAAAAAGGACATTTAGTTATGGCCTGTATGTCTTGCTGTCTCCCTCTGTTTCTCTCTCTTAGTCTCTTAGTCCACACACAAAACACAAACACACATACACACACAACAGTTAATAAGTGAAGTAATGTGGCCTCACGCACACACACACCAGAAATAAAAACACACACAACATACATGGATAACAATCTTCAAGAGTAAGGTATCCTTATCCCACACACAAAAAACTATGTCTCTGTAAACAAACACACGCACACACACACATTAATGCTTATAATAATCCACACCACGTTGTAGTGAATTAATCAAAATATGTAATGCAAATTACAGCATTTCTTTTACAGAAGAGTTGTTTCCCCCCCCAAAATAATCTGTTTTCCTTCCAATCAATATTTTTCTGAGATTGGTTCAAAAGTCTTCACAACTAGCTGTTTAGTGAATAGGCCCCACTGGTTTGCTATATATAACAGCGTCGATTGTATGCAGTAGAAGATATGTGAGTCACAATGAATCAATCCATTCCCTAAAGAATCAGTTCAATGAGATACATGTTCTTAGTCAGCAATGAAACAGAACGACAGGAGTCGCCAGACGTGTGTATCTCGGAGACAATAAGATTTGACAATGGTATATGGTTGGTTTTATTGCATGGCTTCTGCTGATGAGACTCAGAGAAATGAAAACAATCTTTAAGATGTGTCTGATCATTTTACATCTACAAGATATTGGGCACAGAACACACTGTGGGTATTGAGCAGCCTGCAGTTTATATTGAGCACATTGTGTAAGACAAACACACAGGGGAGGTGTATTCAATAGCAAGACGAACAAACAGGTACAGGCACTGAGGTCCAGGGAGCTAAGGACCATGTATGATAAGAACTGGCGATAAGATATGCATGTTTGCACAGACACTGTCTAGTTTTCAATTCTCTCCAGACCTTGAGACAAAGTTTTCTTTCACCCCCCCCCACCCCCCTCTTCTTTTCTTTACGTAGACAAAATACAACTCCCATTATGTTCCTTAGATATTTTAACATCTGCTTTAAATGTACAGCCATTGCTTGATTAGACTGCTTATTAAGGGGAAAACACACAGATTATGAATTAACTCACTCATTGCTGGTGGGTGGGATGACTATAGCAATTTTATACATTTTATTCTGCAATGTGCTCCACCCAAACTATCCTGATTAGCTATCTTAAGTTAATCTTAGTAAATACCTCAGTGTCTAGTAAAGCCAGCTCCCTGGAGCTATGTGACACTGGTAAAACGTGGATGTAGCCCCAATTCCATTAAGCAAATCTCCTTAATACTGTTGTAGGTTTTAAAAAAAAAAAAAGTTTCATTTAAAAGGACGCTGTACACTGGAGGAGGAAACAAGCAAAAAACCATTTAAATAACAAAAATAACAAATGTGGAATTTCAATTTATATGTTTGTCACTCTCTAAATGAATGTTCACTGCTACCCATCCCGGCATAAAAGTTATTTTTTACATTTTTCATATGCACTTGTTTCTCACATTTAATGGGGTTCTTGATAGAACTTAGAATAATTTGAGGTCACCTGTATAATTTGAGCCCCCCCCCAAAACAAGCTGTCTATATTGTCTACATTTCGCAAACTGGTTTACAATTCTCTAAAATTCGATTTTTAGTGACTAACCCCCCACACAGTCAGTTCTAGCTGGAAAACAATGTGCTTTAATTCACTTGTTCGCTAGGGGGAGGACAAGAACTCCTGAGCTTGATAGATCTTCGCTTCATACAATAATGACGTTATGCTACTTTTTATTCTTTTCTTTACATGAGTAGTAGCAGTTTAACTAATTCCTGACCCATCCATCCATTTATTTATGTAGTTATATCAGCATATCAGCAGGAACCTTTTAAATATTACCAAATAATGTATCTCTGAAAATAATTATGATCAAACTAATTATTAATAATAATAATAAATTCTACTCTTTTTAAATAATGAATTCTTCTGTATTGTACTCTCTCCTCGTTCAAGTTGTTGTGAAAAATAACATTTTCAACAAACTACCATTGTTAAAGAATATGAAAATGTGTGAGGTTATAAATATGAGAAAATCCAAAGTTTCCAAAATTCTGTCTGTGCAGTGGTAAAATTATAACAGGGATATTTGGTTTTGTTTATGAGGTTGTTCTGTGTTCATGCTTGTTTCCATAACCCGTTTAAATACATTGCAAATATAAATTATAAGCATTAATAGCATATAAAATGCATAGATTTTTATATTCATTTTCAAGTTTCCAAAGTGCAGATACTAATTGGCACATGCCCACATATTTAACATTAATTTAATTAATTTAACATTAATTTAAAGTACAGTATTACCATACTTGTGTGTTTATCTCTGGTGCTAGTTTTAATATTGGATTATTTGTGTTAGAGCAATCTATGCTAAGGAAAAACAAAAAAATGTCTATGAATTCTTTTATCAAATAATATCAACAACAAAATAATAATTTTAATTTTTTTTATCACTATTAGTTGTTGTAGCAGCAGTCTTACATTTGTACATTAAAAAAATATATATTTTGCATTTATTTTAATTATTCAATCAAAGCTTTATATTTAAACAAAAAAATAATAATTTTAAAAAGTATCAAAAGCAGCTTTGATAAAATAGTAAAGACGAATTTCAAACGAATTTTTTTTCCCTTCGGCTCGTAACTAGATACAATTTATGTAAAATTAAAGGTTTGTTGTTCGCTCTTGTTTTCTGACGAATAAAATTCTTAATTCGGTTCTAAAATGACCATGAAAAAGTGAAAAGTAAATAGGCAACAAATTAAACTAAAATGTTACTATTCAGATATTTAACTATGTATCCGCACTGAATACAGTGTGTTACGAATATTGTATAAACTGTATACCAGAAGCTGTATTTTTTTTTAATGATGCTGAAATCTTTTTTTTTTTTTTTCATTTTAAACATGGTTAAAAGGAATTACTGTTTTCGTTTGTATTCAGCGAAATAAATACATCTTGAGGTGGCTCAGTGACCCCAGCAATTCCTTATCTAAGTTCACCCATTGCTACTGGGCATTAAACTGGCACGCTCTAAGCCTCTTCTATTATAAAGTAGAATTCAAGGTTCAAAAATGTACAAATTTTAGCAATAGTTTAACAAGGACCAGCAGTCCTGTTTTTCATTAAGATATGGCACAGATATTTGCAGATGATATGGACTTCAACCTTCACTTAATATTTTCTATGATATTATATATATATACGGATATGCTAATTTAACTATTAGGATAGAAGGTAACATCTGTATAGATTAATTTCCTATCCAAAATATTTGTTGTCAGGAGTGGGGTTGATTAACTAAACAACGATGTAGTTGGCAATAAAGTGCAAAATCTATACCAATCACCAAATTCGGTCGTACAATTCGAATGAACGGATACTTTTGCAAACATCGATTTGCTAACTTCAAGACAAAAAGTTAACAATAACAAAATAAATAAAGAGAGGAAAATAAAAAGAAAATAGCAGAATTCATTTTTAAAACAAATCTGCTATTTTGTCTTAATATTTGTATATTATTTAAGCAGACAAAGATCACCGCTTAGTGAATATATATATAGAATATATATATATATATATATATATATATATATATATATATATATATATATATATATATATATATCTACACACATGCAAATAGCATACCATAATGGCTGATAGAAGTATTACTTTATCCATACCAATCAATCTTCATTTTGTTTTGGATTATTTAACATCCACAACCCTAACAGTGCATTGTCTATTAAAATACCACCAAATAAAATCCGACACACATCTGATGCAATGAATACAACTTGTGTGCCACTTAAACACTGGGGGAGACATGTCCTGTATTTTGCACATGGGGGACAACTTTTAAAAAGTCATTATGACGTCACAAGACACTAATGACAATAGATTTTATTTAACCCACAGATATGTATTTTACCCAGGGGTATCTGTCTATACCATATCAAGGAAGACACAAAGGTCCCACTCATTGTCAGCTGAAAGCTCTTTTCTCTTGGTGTTTGGACAAATTAGTATTAGACAGCAGTTAGAGCTAATATCTTTTCTCTTTTGGATATAATGATATTGGTGCAAGATTAGTTGAGCTACAACAGTCCCTCTTGGCAATTTAATAAATATAAAATGTTATGAAGCAGGAGGTCACATCAATGTACGTTGCAACAAAAATGTGAGGGGCATAAATTTAAACTATGAGGGATCATGCTCCTTATTAATACTGTGTGTGTATCTTTTTGTGTGTGTGTGTTTTTTTGTCGGTGTACAGAGTATGTGTGTGCAGTGTAACTAAGCAAGATCAAATGTTTGGTAAGCAAAACACCTTCTAGCGGTCCTGCAGTCATCACAGTTACTATTTGAATTACACAAAATCCTCTGCTTATAATTTGTGTACCGGGTTAATGATGTCATTAGCCATACTGAAATGTGTTTTGTTGCCAGATACACACAAGATATGAAAGTTATATAATAATGACATTCCCATGACCTACCAAACCCATAAAATAACCGATTGATGACATGGCCAATCCCTAATAACCTAACTGGATTGTGATATTGAGAGCCAGCAAATATTATGCATAAACTTTACACTTTAGCCAAATGTCTCGAGGCATACAGTGGTATAATTGTGTGTATATGTATGCATGTGTTGTGATGTATGTATGTATATATGTATATATATATATATATATATATATATATATATATATATATATATATATATATATATATATATATATATATATAAACAAGATTCATAATGTTATCTCTTGTTTTATTTTATATACATACATATAGGGAGAGGTGGATCTGTATCTACACAAGTGCATGGACATTGTCCACAAACATGTAGTTTGTGTCTGTATATGTGATAATCGACTTTGTGTGTGTTGTGTTGGCATTTAGTGTTTTCCTATATCTATATCATTTTGCTTGTGTGTGTGTGTGTGTGCATGTACCCATATGTGTATCTATCTTTACGGGTATACAACTCTGTGCTTGTGTCTATGTGAATGTGTGCATTTAGGTAAGGCATTGAGGTTAAAAAAATAAATAAATCAAAATACCAGTTATTACCGGTTATTAATTGCTGTTTCCATCTCACTGCAAAGCAGCAATGTGTTTCATTCTATATTCCAGGTCCTAACAGTTAATTATTTACTTGATGAATATTAGGGTGAGTGAGTCCTCGATTTTAATTTTAATTTCCCCAGTCTTTCTCTAAATTCATCATGTTGTGTGTGTATATAGGACTTGTGTGTGCATATGATATGTGTTCTGTATTATTCTCTCAGTATATTTTTTATTATGACTGTGTATGTACACATAAATGTTTCTAAGTTTCTGTTTGTGTATAATACGTTAGTTGTTGTGTTACAAAATCGCATTACTAGCCTCTCAGTTCAATTATTGAACGTATTGTGTATCATAAATTACCCATTGTATACCATAAATAAACAAACTCGTTTGGAATACAGCTATTCAATGCAAATCAAACAAGTTGGTTTAAGACTTTAGTTTTGCTATCTTACAAAAGCCAACAGAATATCATAAGGTCACTAAAACACATTTACAAATCGAGTTCTATATTATTTTCACGTGGAAATGAAATGTAAAATAATTAAATTGGTCCAACAAGAATTGCAGAGAAATTAAAAGAGACTTTCAAATTTTAGGCCAAAATTAGAACCAGTTTTTGCAAAATTAGTTTATTTTTTCAGTTCGGATGCTTCGGCTAAACTTTGCATTTCTATTTAAGATTCTCTATTAATTTGTGGTTTATTGAATGTTCCCAACTGAATTTAGTAGACTAGCTGACTTTAGTTTGAAATGGAGGTTGGAATAATTACTTCAATTAATCATATTCTCTAATACTGACTATAAGCGAGTAGAACATATTTTCAAACTTAATGCATTTTCTTATCTAAACGACAACCGAAAATAAAATACTTAATTATGCAAGTCTCAGTTAATATGAAGGAATATATATATATATATATATATATATATATATATATATATATATATATATATATATATATATATATGGAGAGAGAGAGAGAGAGAGAGAGAGAGAGAGAATGTTTGGAAGATTTGAAAGTGTTACATTTAGTTACACTTACAATTTAGTTACAAGTATATATTCATAAAGTAGTACAAGTATATAGCAAATAGTTATCAAGGCAATTAATTAACACTGACAAATTAAGTACCCTAATTATAATAAGATTTTTTTTTTTGGATACAAAATACAAATAGAGTATTTTTCGTATATGAGAGAAGTACAGATGCTTACTGACTGTTGTTACAATATAGCAGTGAAATATATACATATGTAAACACACTAAGTAGAAATTAAATGTTTTTTTTGGGTTGACTCTTCCAAATCATTCACAGTCTGGAATGGTTAGTATTCCTTAAATAGTCCCCCACAGCTGAATAATTTATAATAGACACCCTGTATCTTTATTAACTGCTGTATTTACCCTAAAACTTGTAGTTTTTCTTGGCCCAGTAAAACTGCTTCATAAGGGTTCCAGTAAATATGCAGTTGTTATCAATCGCCTTTAAAAGCAGTTTGGGGCCATACTAAATGGAAGGTCTTCTGGTTTGTGAAATCCTTTCATTTGAGCTGAGTCTTGCAGTTATAGGACAGCTGTTGTTCTTGGGGGAGGTAATTGCCGGAAAAGACGGGAAACACTTTAAAATCAGCAATCTACAGACTCGAACAGGCCAATCTAGAGTATCATAACAAAAGTGGCATATTGCACTATTGGGGAATATTCACTAGAGCAAGTGCTGAGCGTTCTAAAAAACAAAAACTCACATGCAAGTCTTATTGTATGTAGAAAGATAAATAATGTTCCTCGTAAACTTTATATGACCAACGAATTTAAATAAGATAACAATTATACATTGAGGAAAGTAAATAAAATATAAGCAATTAAGGATGAAGTAAGGGTAAGGTATAAGGTGTACACACACACACACACACAATATGTACCTAATTAATCATAGCTGTACCATAATACAATCCTATATATATAGTGTGCTTTATGCTAAGTGTATACTATGTTTTGTAGCAACAGAAGATGAATATAGTGCAAGGTGAAATGCAGTTTTTAAGAACATCTATTTAACAACAAAAAAAATAATCTCCCCCTACTCATTTTACAACCTTCCATTCATGCAGCTGGGATGGAGAGTTGAATAAAGTATGTCTAGCCATCTTTTTGCCATTTGAAGTGATGTAGATGAAGTGATGCAACTCTATACGTTTGGAAGCTAAGAATGATGGGAGCTGTAGCCTACATCTCTGGAGGGGCCTATTCCTGCACTAACTTGCTGTGCTAACATAGTCTGCTAGAGCAGTTACTGTGGATTCTTTTACAAGTCCCATACAAGCTTAACCCCCCTTCTCAGTTTTGATCTCCTGATTTCAGGCTTGTCCTCCTCTATAAATCCGATGTTTTGGCATTTTAAGGAAATGAAGGAGCAGTCTGACCACTTTTTGGGAAGGCCTGCTAATGCTTTGCTAACCCTTTGAGTGCCAGTTCACCCCAATGACACTTGTCTCAGTTCACCTTTATGTCAACTCTTTTTGATGCTTCAAAAAAAGAAAAAACAACAAAAAAAACCCTCAAAGTTAAAAAGCCTTTAAAAATATTCAGAAATGTTTTTACAATTAGTTTTTTTTTTTTGGTGGATAAAACATCCAGTATTTAGGGAAAACAATAGCTCTTTGAGAAATAGCTTCTCATACCCCTGGGTAACTATTTGTTCAAGTGACATTCCAGCTTTAAGCCTCTTAGTATGGTGGATGAGTTGAAACGAGAAAACCCAGTTTAGTTAAATAAATGTTCAGGGACCACCTACCATCTCTAGATACAGTATTTTACAGTGACATAGAAAACAACTGCCTAACAACTAATAACTCATTGAAAATGATCAACGATGTGTGCATATAGAGGTCCTTAAATTATGGAGTGAATACATGAGAATTATGACTAACTTGTGTTTTTCAGCATATTAAAAAACATAGGTATACATTCAATACACTGTGAAGCATGTGTGTGTGGCCTGGATAGAAAGATGGTTTGCTTTGCATTTCTTTGGCTTGTTTTTGTAGAGATTCAGAATTTTCACAGTAAAAGCTTAATTAAGCATGCTCTGTTATGTGTGTATGGGAGGAGATGTGTTATTATTATTATTATTAATAATAATAATACTTTTTTTTATTAATTATACTTATTATCATTATTACTATTATTAATACCATTATTATTCTTAAGCGCCCATATATTGCGTAGCGCTGTACAATGACTTGACAAAGCATACAGAAATATTCGAGGCAATTTCACTTATATAAAGAAGAAGTTGTGGGATTGTAGGAGTCCTGCTTAAACGAGGATACACGCAGAAACACCCAATTTGCATGTAATTTGCATGCCAGTTATATAGATGCGCGCAACCCCCTCCACCTCCCCTCCACACACATAAAACAGCTTTACATTATAAGGAATACAATATTTATGATCAGCCAATGTTTGGGTTTGTAGAATTAATGGGGACACTATTTAATACTTAGATTTATTAATATTTTACAGAAACGATGCTAAAAGTGTTCCCTGACATTAAATATACCAAATCTAAAAAATTCTCTTTCACGTGGAAACTAAGTGACATTTGTCATTCACTGTTTGTTGTTGGGAAATCTACGATCCTATGAATTGTGTGTAATATGCAACTGGTACCCAGACAGGTAAAGAGCATCTCTGGAGCTTAGAAGACCTGTGATGCAAATTCCTTATTGGGTATTTAATTAAATACATTTTTGCATGCAAAAACAAACAAACAAACAAAAAACAACAACTCAGAAGATAAAGGTGATCTATCATTAGTCAACATTAATAGCAACATCATGCAAAAAGATCTAAGCAGTGTCAGCAAATATACTGAATAAATCCAAGAAATGCAACATTGTTTAGATGTATAAGATATATTACATTACAAGACTTAGCCAGAAGTAATGGCCTGCCTCTGGTGTGCTTAAAAAAAATCTACTCTAACCCTTTCACTACAAGTCACATTAAACACATTCGTCGAGGGGGGTCTATTTACTAAGCAGTGAATTTTGGTAGTACGACATACGACTTGCAAGTTTAGGTTAATAGAGCTGGAGTAAATTATGGAATATATATTTTTAGTAAAATCAGATTTTCTTTTCTATTTGCAACATTTCTGTTTTGGTCATTTTTTTTAAACGTATCTGTCTTGGCCTAAATTTTGTAAGTGTTCCCAGTTTCCAGTATATTTTACTATTTTTCCTATGATTCGTGTTAGCATCCTTTGACAGGGCCATAGAGCAAAGAATAGAAATATCCTTCTTGAACTGAATTTTTTAAAAATAAGGAATGAATTTGTAAAGGGGCATGTTCACTAAACAGTGAATGGTTTTGTACAGTTTTGTGAAATGAAGGCCAAAAATAAAGTGGAATACTCTACAAGTGTTTACATTTCCAACTAATTTCTCAAATGATCCAAAACGATACAACATAATAACTATTTACACTATACAGCATCACAGGCATGTGTGCATATATCCACATAGGCACACACAACATGCATTATTTGTAGATGTATTTAATGTCTAAATAAAAAAATGTAATGTTTTCAGTTTCATATTTTGTGTAAAAAAGAGCAGAAAGAATTGAGAGTCAATTTGATACCTTCAGATTATCACTTACCTAATTCTACATAGGAAGGGGCATTCTTAGAAAGACTTAGTTCCATTATAATATCTCTGTAAACAAAGAACATTGGAAAGATTACTCCACTGGTTTTTACTTTAAAAAGTGCAAATCCGAAAACTGACATTTATATATAGCTTTTTAAAAATAACCCACATTTTTTTTTTAAACAACTATAGTCCTTATATATTGAGGACTAACTGAATGACATGCTACATGAACCTTGTTATAATATACACTTATAAAATGGTAACAATAATTAAATTAATATTGTGCAGTCCTATAAACAATTATAGAAAAAGAGGGTGAAAAAAGGACGAAAAAGAAAAACAAGCCCATTCAATTCTCCCTAATAACCATAAAAACACGGTTAACATTGAAAGATTCATTGTAGCCTAACTGTACAGTAGCCTACTATTAATTTGCATGGAAGCTCAAGGTCAGGATCATGCAGATCATTTTTCTTTTTTTTTCTAAAGGGTTATAGACTTTTTTATGGATAATTTTCTAATTTGGCTACATTGCCCATTATTGCCTTGCAATTAAACTTCTAACAGTTTTTGCTTGTGGTTTACCTTCTTATTGAGATATTGATCTCTTGCATTCAGACATTTCAAATGTATTTAATCAGAGTAATTAACTGCTGCTCTTGTGTTTTTACAAACATAATTACAGGAGCATATTTTAATTCCTAATCACCTAATGTATTTTATTTTGCTTTTTTTTTTTAATATATAATAAAACTGCTAAACCTTTACAAAATATACCAACAATGCTCATGCTATATTTCATGACCCCAATAACGAACAATGTTAAAAAGAATATAGGGTCTAACATGTGCCCTCTATTAAGGGTTAACTAATAGACTGCCAGGTATAGAGTGGTCAACTCATTTGTTTCCCCCCTTGACTAGTGGATATTTAGTGAGGTAAGAGTTAAGCTCTTATGAATAATATCTTTCACATGCCCCACTCTAAGTATTAAGTTTATTGGCTATTAAAAAATGTGTGTCTTGTCAAATCCATCATGTTTTGCAAGAGACTGAATTTTGTGAGGAAGTCATGATATTGTGCAATGCTCACACTCCAATCTTTCTACATCTGAGCTCAATCCTGATAGTAAACTGCCTGTGCTTAATTCTTTAGGTTAGTGGAGTGAGGTAACCCCCCTTTGGAATTGTATGTTCTAACATATTTGTAAGGCTTGACGAAGTGCAGGGATGCTGAAGAATTTATACAAGGTATAAATACGTCAAGGACCCAACTTCAAGGCTAAAGTGAGCAATCAGCATCAGCAAATGAAGAGATTGTCTGGAAAACGCATGCTGCTTAGAAATACATTGTGCCCTTGCCTTGGGTCTCCCATTAACCCTTTGAGTGCTCAACACAATGCTTAACCAATGAGTTGGAACTCATACCTTTCATACTAAGAATATCATAATCCGGTCTGCTAGCACCCCGCAAACAAAACCCACATTTGAAAAATCTGTGGTTTAACTTAAGACAATAACAAATTAAAAAAGGTCAGATAAAAAAACAAAACAAAACACAAAAGCAACACATGGAAAAGGAAATTAGAAAAAAAACGAAAAACAGAGAAAAAAAACAAAGCTCATTATTTTATATCTCTAAGATTAGTTATTAGTTTTTTTTTTATCTTACAAGGTAGGACAGACTCAGAAATAAGTAAAAGCAAGAAATAAACGTTTCTATAAAACGAGTTACATTTGCAAGAGGGGTGCTAGAGTGGGAGGGGGCTGATCAGCCCTGTGAGGTCAACTGAGTCATTTGGTTAATCCGGATGACTATCTAAATAATGACACAGATTTTAAGTGGTTAAGTATAACGTAGGCAATTGTAGCTGTCAAATGTGCAGGAACTTGGGAGAGGCGCCCCTCCAAACTGGGGGCTTATAAATAAAGGAAAAACTAATATATATTCATTTATTGATTAGCTTGTTTCTCTTGTTTTATATATATATATATATATATATATCTATACATAAAACAAGAAAAACAAGCAAATATTTACATATATAGTACAAGTAAAGCAAGCTAATAATATGCATGTATATATATATAATTCCAACTGTCAAAATAATCATTGCTACCTCGCTAGTTAGTTTTATAATTACTTTGATTATCATTTTATTACTTTAATTAGAAATAATAATAATAATAATACCATTATAACTTTATTTTAATTAGCCATAATAACAATAATAACAATATGTAGTGAAGCTGTAGTTTTGTGCGAAGCAAGCAGTGTATGTCAGTAAGAACTCTATAAACAATGTTTTGCTCAGAATGTTTTTGACTCTGGTGAAGAAGAAAGCAATATTATATTATTTGTTTTCACTACTAATCCCCAGTATGGACATACAGAACTTGACTTACCTGTAAAGCGCCGCGTCCCTGTATGGGCTTGCAGAGTCCAATGTTAGATCCCCAGTGGCTAAGCTCTGTGTAGATGAGCCGCCCTTGCACAGCGCCGTTCTGGGGAGACACTTCTGGTGCTATTGGGTTTTCTCAGGGAGATCTGTACAGATCCGCATGACGTCACCGGAGTCCCAGCGTGCCACACACTGTGTGTGTACAGAGAGAGTGTGAGAGACTATGTGTACACAGCAAGGGAGAGAGAGAATGAGATAGACCTATCCCAGCAGGCTGATCAAACCTGCTCTGCACTCCAACAATGCACTGTGGGCCACTTCATTGTTCCTCTACTAACCATGCATGACAGCACACTGCTACACAACTACACAGTGCAGGGAGGAAATGTGAAATGTACACAACATAGCTACAAAATAACACTCATGTATCCATGTTCACTAATATACTAACATAAATTGTGAAAGGTTAAATATTATTTTATATATTAATGCTTCTATCAATTAAACTGTATCTGTCTGTATGTGTGTGGAGCTGACATACGTATACCACTGCACACTCCCACTCTTGCTCATACCATTATATTTGATTTATATCATGTATATATAGTAAAATGTACTAGTGCCTCTGCACTTATGTATGAGTTTATGTTATAATTTAAACACAAACAATACTGGCAGTAGGAAGTATACATTTCAAATAAACAGGACCCTTTCAGTTCAAGTTCAGGGAAGACTGTGACATGTGCAAGTGATGTATTCGTGTTGTTAAAATATAAACTCTTTTATTAGATGAACATTGATGCACTAGGATATTGTAACTTATCAAATGTTGTAAGATATTTAACTAATTTCTCTCCTGGTGTTTTATATATATATATATATATATATATATATATATATATATATATATATATATATATAAAACACCAGGATAGAAATGTATTTACATTTATATATATATATTATAATAATTGTTAACCTGTTTTGTTTAGGGGTTTGTTTTCTATTATACATAAGAACCCACTAAACAAAGCGGGTTGTAACAAATGACCTCCTAAACAAAACAGGTTATACATTTTTTCAGGCCTTGTAATTTTCAGATGCAATAGACAAGGGAGTGAAAGGTTTACTCATTTAAATTAACTACTTCTTTCTTAAAAGTAATATTCTTGGCTTTGATATTGTTTCAATGTATCTGTTGTTAAAATGTATCAATAACTTGGCACCATACAGTTCAAAAGAGAGATAATCGATTAATTAGAAAAATAAATAACATTTAAATAATTATCAACTTCTCATGATTATGAGTAAATTAAACCCCCATTTTCACTGGGAGTGTACGATTATCAGTGGGTTAAATGCACTATTTTGTGTAAAGTGCATGTCTTAATCTTTATGTACAGTTGGAAGTAAAATACCAATATGTGATTTTCCTGGGTATAGATAATAGGATGTTGGAGAGAGCCTAACAAGGTCTTGCTAAGGGATTTGTTAAAGATTTCTTCATGCTCCCTGGCTTAATCTCCACGTTACTGAAGTTAGCCATACCTTTTATGAAATCACTAAATTGCAGGATACGAGGGGAGACTGCAAATTACAGTGTAATAGGCTTGCAATAGTTAGAGGAGGCAGCAAAATGAGGCATTTTGATGGGATTCGCGTGGACATTGCCTTGAATTCCTTTGGGGAGGCTGCAGACTGCCAGCATCCCTGTGCCTTTTCCTCTTTCTTGCATTACATAATTGGAGCAATGGGGTGTGAAACACACACACACACACACTCAACACACACACACTCTCTTTCTGTTGTCTTTTTACACAAAAATATTCTATTTTAGTTTATATTCCAAAGGAATATTGCAAGAAATAAATAATCATATTTCAAATTTAATAGATTGAGCAAATGTGAATATATAACACAATCCATTATTCAGTAATTCAGTATTGAGTAATATTTATTAAAATCAAGCATTATTTTCTTTTGCAAACCCAGCCTTACTCCCCACCATTACACCTTTTGTGACTTTTTAATGTGCAGCTTGTTTTTCAATTTGGCACTCAGGGGGTTAAAGATGTCTTTCCATCTGCAACGGTGGACCAATTAATAAGTCACTCAATGTCCTGAAACATAATTAGCTTTCAATTATCCTCTCTTGAAGCTCACACAATATCATAGCCAATTCTTTAAAATATAGCAGATATGTTTCAGTAAAAAAGAAGAGCTACGTCTCGATCTGTGTCATTTATATCCATAGGCTGTATCCCATGAAACAGTCAAGCAGAGCAAAAATAATTTCTTTATATTTGCAATTTAAATTAAAATTTTTTTGACTCCTGGTTTACCAGTTGTGAGTTTCACATTGTATTAGTAATTTGTAAGCTAACCCATGTTACAGAACCTTGAACATCTGCATTGAAGTTTAACACATGCAATGTCAAGATGATGGCTACAAGAACAACTAGGATACATAACGTTTATTGGCATACAGAAGCAAACTTATTTCTTACATCTTCCTGAAAGACTCTGGTAAAGAGGGAAGACTAAATTCAAGGATTTAGCAGGTATCTGTTAAAGATTCACTTCAACAGTTTAATGTACTTAAATGCCCACGAGTTTCCCCTATCATAACTCAAAGACAAATGTGGAAGATATCAAAGATTCAACAGAAGACATCAAGAGAGAATCTGTGTTACCCTTAACATTTGCTTCATGACATGGAGTTAATGTGATTCACATGGAAAATATCAAATGATACGTAAGATAATATTTATAATAACATTAATTCTTCATAGGAAACATCACTTGGAAAAAAGCAATGAATGTTGAAATACATGTAGGATGGTGAAGTCATTTCAAACAGTGTTTTGGTTTTGGACTTTTTTTATACAAAAGAATTCTTACATGATCATAACATAATAAAATGTCAGCATGTACCCAAAAGTCATAAATTCATTATTTTCTACTGTTTTAAATACTAACTACTAACAATATGCTTCCTGTCTGGCTTTTACTGAATGGAGCTAGTCTAACAGCTGGCTCAGAGGTATATTAATTCATAAAAAACAATAAGATTGTATTCAAATCAATCTTTAATGATGCAGCACAAAGGATTTTCTTTTAGAAGTGTCTAAAAACAGAAAACCTAGTTGACTAATTGTAGACTGTTTTGCTAATGACTTCATTCAGAAGAAAGATGTAATCTGAAGGCCAATCATACCCAAAGGGCAGAAATTGGATTTACTAATTACAGAAGTTACTGGTAGATCTTTACAAATCCTTTACGGCACCAAATATATTTAAACCAGCATAATTATTGTCTAATTCTCTAGTGAAAGAAATGGAATAAAACAGAAAGGAACATACATTCTGCTTATTGGATATTGTACAGGGTTCCAATTCATGTTGTTTTAGGCTCTTTTTAACTAAACAGTGAATTAACATCTGACTTACAAACATTACGCCAAAATAACTTTCTTGGAAAAAAAATAATAATCTGAAGTTGAGTACGAATTTTGATAATTAAGTTTATGTTGTTCTAAATATTCAAATATGTAATTGATGCAGTACAGCTAAGAATTGAGTGAATGATCACCTTTTTGTAAAATATCACACACCATAACCTATAATCACTATTGGTATATTTACTAGGGTGCAGAATCTGGTGACTTAACAGTTGATTTGCAAAAAATAAAATAAAAATAAATCTCCATTTCAAGCAAACTGTTATTCCCCCCCCCCTCCCATTTAAAAAAAAATATATATATTTTTAAGTTTAGAATATGCAAATCACTGCTCCACACACCAATGCTATTTAACAACGAAAACCCCAACTTTTGCTGTCATTTTTGTATATAATATGCATCTTACATAGTAAATACAGAAAAAAATATCTGTAATTTTTCATCCAATAAGATCCAATATAAGGATACTGTACATGTTATGCACATAGTTTTAACATTTCTGCTTGTGTTTCAAATGGATTACTTACATTTGTCATAGATGCTGTTTGCAAGCAGTTGTATGCCAAAATGGTAAGCAGCAATTGTAATAGCAATTGTATGCCAAAAGGGAAAATATAACCAAAATAAAGAATTTTTAAAATGTGACATATCTAGATTTAGAAAAGATCTGGAACTAAAACACATGTAAAAAAATAATGGAACTCTAATAATGTAATACACACATCCACAAACGCACACAGACAAACACACTTTGTTATACCTATGTACGCATGCACATACATGCACACACATTGCATTGCACAGGTATGATGCAACAGATCATTAATATATTTTTGAATTTTATCTATAAACTCAGTGCTTCAGTACAATAAGTGCCAAATAACTCCTAATGCCAAATGTTAAAGATGTAATTTTACTATTGTGAATCCTATGAGAGGCCTAGAGGCCAAGTTGAGGATGTTGATGGTATAAGGAAAAGATGGAGGCAAAAATAAAACATATTGATTGGGGGAGCCTGTAGTGAGTTTGCAATATAATAAATACTATGTTCAAGACTTATAAAGACAGCCATGCTTTGACAGTTATTTTCATCATTCCCACTCATTTCAATTCTGCCCCTCATTATTCCAGTGCTTTCAAATGCCCAGTCTTTCTGGAAGTGACTTCATACTTGATTAAATATATTTGTAAAGCTATTCTTTGATTTTATGCTTCTGCTGTAGATTTATTTTGTGTCTGGGTCAGTGGAGGGGTTAGTGGGCTTTGGATTGTGCTAAAGGTTGGGACAAGGTCTAACTTTAAATTTGTAAGCCATGTGTATCTGGTATCTTTGAATTGGAAGTTATATATGCATATTGCATATATCCAGATTTTCTTTAAAATCTCTTTTGTTCACACATTTATTTTATTAATTTAATATATACTTTCTATTGTTATTATTATTATTAAGCACCAACAAATTACGCAGTGCTGTACAATGGGTGGACTAGCAAACAGGTAATTGTTACCAGATGAGTTGGACGCTCAGGAACAGAGGATTTGAGGGCCTGTTCAATGAGCTTACATGAGAGTAGTCCTTGTTTGTCCCTCCTTTTTTTCTATATAGTCACATTTATGAACCCAATTGAAACCAATTTGTTTCTCTGAGTACTATCAATCTGAAATGATGGCAAATCTAGATTTGGACCTTTAATTCAGGGACAATAATTATCAGTTTTCAGCTTATATACCACCATATTTTTGAATGACCAAATCTCCAGGAACTACCCAAAGATGTTGAATGGACAAAGCGGGACAATTTAATTTTAGGGGCGTGAGTGGGGGTGTTCTAAACATTTTTAAAATCACCTACAATTCACTTACACACCTAAAATGTAATTTAGAACAAGAACAACTTATCTAACTTATCTACACAGACTGATTTCTAAAAAAATAATAATATTGTTTTGAAACCACATTACTGTGTTATATTGTTGTGTAGCTTTGTCATTTTTTATTTTCATTTCACTTAGAAATCTCTCTGCCTTTCATTTGTATACGATTTTTTTTTTTTACATAAAGCACTGGTGTGAACATTGTTGAACTTTGCACTTTAGGGTTTGCATTATACAGGGAGTGCAGAATTATTAAGCAAATGAGTATTTTGACCACATCATCCTCTTTATGCATGTTGTCTTACTCCAAGCTGTATAGGCTCGAAAGCCTACTACCAATTAAGCATATTAGGTGATGTGCATCTCTGTAATGAGAAGGGGTGTGGTCTAATGACATCAACACCCTATATCAGGTGTGCATAATTATTAGGCAACTTCCTTTCCTTTGGCAAAATGGGTCAAAAGAAGGACTTGACAGGCTCAGAAAAGTCAAAAATAGTGAGATATCTTGCAGAGGGATGCAGCACTCTTAAAATTGCAAAGCTTCTGAAGCGTGATCATCGAACAATCAAGCGTTTCATTCAAAATAGTCAACAGGGTCGCAAGAAGCGTGTGGAAAAACCAAGGCGCAAAATAACTGCCCATGAACTGAGAAAAGTCAAGCGTGCAGCTGCCACGATGCCACTTGCCACCAGTTTGGCCATATTTCAGAGCTGCAACATCACTGGAGTGCCCAAAAGCACAAGGTGTGCAATACTCAGAGACATGGCCAAGGTAAGAAAGGCTGAAAGACGACCACCACTGAACAAGACACACAAGCTGAAACGTCAAGACTGGGCCAAGAAATATCTCAAGACTGATTTTTCTAAGGTTTTATGGACTGATGAAATGAGAGTGAGTCTTGATGGGCCAGATGGATGGGCCCGTGGCTGGATTGGTAAAGGGCAGAGAGCTCCAGTCCGACTCAGACGCCAGCAAGGTGGAGGTGGAGTACTGGTTTGGGCTGGTATCATCAAAGATGAGCTTGTGGGGCCTTTTCGGGTTGAGGATGGAGTCAAGCTCAACTCCCAGTCCTACTGCCAGTTCCTGGAAGACACCTTCTTCAAGCAGTGGTACAGGAAGAAGTCTGCATCCTTCAAGAAAAACATGATTTTCATGCAGGACAATGCTCCATCACACGCGTCCAAGTACTCCACAGCGTGGCTGGCAAGAAAGGGTATAAAAGAAGAAAATCTAATGACATGGCCTCCTTGTTCACCTGATCTGAACCCCATTGAGAACCTGTGGTCCATCATCAAATGTGAGATTTACAAGGAGGGAAAACAGTACACCTCTCTGAACAGTGTCTGGGAGGCTGTGGTTGCTGCTGCACG